AAAACAGCTGTTACATTCATGGCTGCCATGTTGGTTACCTACGCCCTAACGGCTAGCAATGTGACTACATTTTCGACCTAACATGTAACATTGGCCCTGGCCTGTTAGATCGAGCAATGTTAACTAGCCGATTCTTACAAGTCTACGTCAACATTTTTCTCGATCTAACACGACCTAACAGAGTTAACACGAAGATCGTGTAGAATACCCCTAACATTTGCAAACATACTACTTTAACAGCAAAAAACCCAATTAGCAATTGGTTGACTAAATAATTAAATATTTTTGCAATATAAATATTTATTTGTAGCCTATATAGATTTGAACTGGATCGACAGATTCGTCCCAATGATTGTACAGATTCATTCCCGAGGTGAAAGTATGAGGTTTGTCACAGACAGACTCATTCCTCCCCACGAAAACTGATAGTGCAATTAATTCCTCAAATGTGAACTTCCTAACGACATCAGATGTTACGAGCTGTTGGAGTGCAATTTATAATAAAAGAAGATCAATCCTACCGGCTATGCTACTAATATCATGGACGTACATGAATGTTTAGACAAATGCAGTGTGACAACTTTGAACGGTGACGATTTCCTGCTCGATAATAATAGGGAATAAAATATGGGTATCTTCTCGTTTGATAAGTATGTGGCAGTACTGACTAGTGACACGTTTTGTACGTTTAAGTGCTCTCTAAAAATACCTCTAGTGTTTTCTCTGCTACCGAAGAAACGCACTGCTTTTTGAAAGTGTTACTGTCCAGTGCATTGATTCTATCATTTCACTGCATTTTAGTACAATCATTATTGCATTTAATAGGGGTATTCACGATCTTTGTGTTAACTCTGTTAGGTCGTGTTAGATCGAGAAAAATGATGACGTAGACTTGTAAGAATCGGCTAGTTAACATTGCTCGATCTAACAGAGTAGGACCAATGTTAGATGTTAGGTCGAAAATGTAGTCACACTGCTAGCCGTTAGGGCGTAGGTAACCAACATGGCAGCCATGAATTTAACAGCTGTTTTTTGTTTACACGTATTTGTATTCTTAAATACGATTCTTACAAGCCTATAGACATACCTTAAAGGGATATTCACGATCTTTGTGTTAACTCTGTTATGTCGTGTTAGATCGAGAAACATTATGACGTAGACTTATTAGAATCGGCTAGTTAACATTGCTCGATCTAACAGAGTAGGGCCAATGTTAGATGTTAGGTCGAAAATGTCACATTGCTATCCGTTAGGACGTAGGTAACCAACATGGCAACCATCAATTTAACAGCTGTTTTTTGTTTACACGTAGTTTTATTCTTACATAGGATTCTTACAAACGTACGTCATCATTTTTCTTCGTCATCAGAGTTAACACAAAGCTCGTGAATATCCCTATAAGGTATGTCTATTTTCGGTTTTGTTATTCTTCTCTCTATTGTATTTTGGTTTATATTGTAAATAAAACAGTTTTTTATTCATTCATTCATTCAATTGATGATTGGGATCAGGTATGTGATCCAAAAAAAAACTACTTCATTTTGGACCACGTTTCTGATCCCCCCAATCCTCAATTGTTCTCAACTATCATGTTTAATCTGTAACCGGACGTACGGTGATTACGAATATGAAAATGGTGTATTGTAAGATTTGTTTTTTTAGCAATATTTGAAAGCTTTAGTTAATCCATTAGCACTTTTACAATACGTGAATCTAATATTTCAAGTTTCTGGAATATTAACACAGGAGAAAATGATTTATGTGGCTGACATTGTGTGAAGATAATCAATTCCTTCGATTTGATTTAGCGGTATTAATTTCCGGAGTATAACTGTAACCGATCTTCCTATTAAGGCTGTTCTTATTACCTTGCTGTGGTAAACAGAGCCCCATTGGATTGAAAAGGAGCACAAAAGGCCGGATTTCAGTTCACCTGGGCGATCCCTCAAAGCCCTTTTTATCAATTTCCTTCCCAGAGATCTCCCGTGTTCATCTAAACAGGGCCGGGACCACTAAATCAACCAGGGCTATCTGACAGAATCTCGAAGTCAATTTGTCGGCCGAATTTACATAGGCGATCCCTATCTGCTCACCGGCCATTGTGCTCGTCGTCTGACGGAAAAACGGGCCCGTTTTCCCGGAGGCGGCCCTGATTTTCCGACTGACGTGCAATCAATTCAAGTCAGGCCGGACAGCTTGGAAGATGTACTTCGCCAATCTGCATTACGTGAAGATTGACTGTTGTAAAAAAAAGAAAAATGAAAACGTTTGACCGAAATTTCACCCCATTCTCTCCACCCTTTACGGTTTAAAAGATTTCAAGGAAAGAAAACTCCGACGGATATTGTGCTCTTACGATGGCATAGGGGATATTTAAAAAGTCAGAAATTTTAACCATTTAAAAACCATGTCGAGGTAGTAATGATTTCTTGCTGAGTTCGTTCCACTACTTACTTTATTGGCTTTTCCAGATTACATAATTAATCTCGTAAGGATGATCTTTAAAAATACACTCTTTCACTTTTTTTAAAAATATTTAAAAAAACAACTACTGCATTAAAATAGAAAGATATTTTACAAATTAAAGATCAATAAACAGCCATTAATAAAATAGAAGTTGCATTTACTTTAGTCATTCTTTCTCAATAGACAAAAATCCGAGAGAAATGAAATAGAATCAAAATAATTTAAAATTCTTTAAATGCTCAATTTTCGTAAACTGGACAAAATAGTGATGTAATAAATTTATTAATTTACATGTAAACACCTAACTTGTATGGTTATGTATGGCTTGTATCCTTGTAACTTGTATGGAATTATATCTATTATGAATGAGAGTGTAAGGGCAGGTCAGAAATTAAAAAAAGAAATGTATCGGTCTGATTTAATTAATGCATATTTAAGAATAAAATTTCGTGTAAACAAAAAAAAAACAGATGTTAATACGCCCTAACGGCTAGCAATGTGACTACATTTTCGACCTAACATCTAACATTGGCCGTGGCCTGTTAGATCGAGCAATGTTAACTATCCGATTCTTACAAGTCTACGTCATCATTTTTCTCGATCTAACACGACCTAACAGAGTTAACAAAGTTAACACGAAGATCGTGAATATCCCTGTAAGGTATGTCTATAGGCTTGTAAGAATCGTATTTAAGAATAAAACTACGTGTAAACAAAAAACAGCTGTTAAATTGATGGCTGCCATGTTGGTTACCTACGCCCTAACGGCTATCAATGTGACTACATTTTCGACCTAACATTGGTGGCCTGTTAGATCGAGCAATGTTAACTAGCCGATTCTTACAAGTCTACGTCATCATTTTTCTCGATCTAACACGACCTAACAGGGTTAACACAAAGATCGTGAATATCCCTATTATCTCCTACCCAGTATCTTTACCTACAAATACTGTAATGCTAGAACCAAAATAACTTGTTGGAAATTGGAAGTAGCTGCGTTTGAATTTACATGTGCCTGTTCTGTAATTGATGCTGTGTTTATCTCTCTTGATATAAGCCGTTTCTAAAAAGTTGCGTTTATGTTTGTTTTGGTCTGCGTTAATATTTTTGGATTGTTGAAGTCGAAGTAGTGTTGGTGTTCAAAGTGGTGGGTAGCCAGTGATGTTGGATTTTATTTAAGTCATAGATTTATATGTTGTTTTATCCTTTTATCCAGATATTAAGATGTAATTGCGATTTATATTGTCGGACAATTCGTTCAATGCAACTTCAGACGTAATTGTTATTGTGGGATCTTTAATTTTGTAGAAAAGAGTGTGAATTAGTTATACAGTAAAGATTTTAAAGTTATCGGAAGAAATGTTTATATAAACATAAAACAGCAATATATCAACATGACACGCAAGAATGGCACAATTACACAGAAGACAAACACTTTGAGTGAGTAGAAATACTGATTGAATATAAAAAATATATTTTCCATTGTATAAATTCACTTTTTCCACATCCTACATGTATTTGTAAAATTTAAACGATGTTTATAAATCCCAGGCCCTGAAGATGATCTCAATAAAGATCGAAACGTTGGCACGATAAAGAAAATGTTTTTATGAAACCTACATCACACCAGACCGCATCTCACGATTTCTGAATAATTATCGACTGAACAATCACCACACATTATTTGCATAGTTCTTCGGAATAATTAGCAGTAAACAATAATTTGTAGAATTTTTGAACCTTCTTAGCAATATAACCTATATAACTAATAATATAACCTAACTAATATAACCTATAAACCGAACTAATATAACCTATAAAATGTGTAAGATGTGTAAAATATAACTTAACAATTTAGATGATAATAATACTGTAATTATAGGCAATAAAAATATTACTATAAATATAGGGTTAATTTGCAGAAGAAAAAAATTCATAATGTGCGAAGTGTTGGAAGTATTAGTTTCGATACAAGAAATCGTTCGCAGATGAAATTTATCTGTTTATCCTTAATGCACATAAGTTACCAATTTCTTTCTGCGTTTAGTTCATAGTGGGTGTTTGTGTCTGTATTGGTGACTCAATTGGCTTTCCGTTTCATACGTTCTACTATTCGGGAGTGTTTTCCGATGTTGGAGCCGGCTCCGCGGATATTGCCCCGGGGCAATAAACGCTTCTCGGAAGGAGGTCATCCGTGATCAGAGGCACTTTATGTGACTTCCTCTTCTGCCGGTGGCAATATCTCAGCTGCAGGTGTCTCTTCCTCTCAATATCATTTTCCCGGCTCTCATATACCCGCGCACCCCTTTCGCGTTGTCCCTTTGCAGACTTGTACAAATATGTTTACTGATCGGGTAATGAAAATCCATGGAAACGCGTCAAACAGGCCGTCGATATGTTTAACCGTAGAAATTATCCCAGTTGTTCAATCTAAAAATACATCTGGGCTTTTTATTGTATTTTAATATTTCAAGAAAATTATATACTAAAGTTATTGATTGTTATAAACGTAATCATTTTGTTTTGTTGTGCAGTACTCCGAGACGAGTTCAGGTCAGTGCCAGTCGGGACGAGGGTAGCAGCAGGGGAAACCGCCCTCCTTGAGTGTGGCCCACCAAAAGGCTACCCCGAGCCGAGCATACTCTGGAAAAAGGACGGAACTATGATCGACCTCGAGGCGTCCGACCGGGTGCGCATAGTCGACGGAGGAAACCTGATGATCCGTGAAGTCAAACCCAGCGACGAGGGCAGGTACCAGTGCATCGCGCAGAACATCGTCGGAGTAAAAGAAACCACACCAGCCCTCCTCACTGTTCACGGTAAGCAAAACTAAACAATTTAAAATCTGTTCGAAATTAATATTCACAAAGATTGCAGCTCATATATCCATCTAGTGACATCTGTACAACTGTACTGAGGAACAACTATTTGCAGAAATCTCTAAAACCTACAAATAATCCTATTTATTTATAATATATCCTAGATTTTTTTTGTTAAGGGTATGGGAAATATCCTGTAAAATATGATAAAAATTTGACACATTGCGTTCTGGTTCTATTTGTACTGAACGTGGGAAATTTTCTTGCGTTATTTTTAAATTTCCATATCAATTATTTTGTTTACTCTTACAACCGAGAGTCACAGGGGTATTCATGATGTTTGTTAGATGTTAACTCCCGTCTGATTTAATTAATGCGTATGTAAGAATAAAAATACATGGAAACAAAAAACAGCTGTTAAATTCATGGCTGCCATGTTGGTTACCTACGCCCTAACGGATAGCAATGTAACTACATTTTCGACCTAACATCTAACATTGGCCCTGGCCTGTTAGATCGAACAATGTTAAGTAGCCGATTCTTACAAGTCTACGTCATCATTTTCCTTGATCTAACAGGCCCTAACAGAGTTAACAGGGTTAACACAAAGATCGTGAATACCCCTTTCGATGGTTAAAGATTAAACGTTAGTTCTTCCGCAATGCTGCGTGTGGCGACTGGTACAACTAAAAATTAAGCTAGAACAGTCCTTGAAGACTTGTTGTTTGTTGTGGTTTTGTTTTGTGTTAAATTGAAAGACGCCAGAAGGTAGTAAAAAAGGAACATTAATCAAATCTTTCATTTAAAATGCTATCTATGCACTCGAAAAGTACTTAAAAATTACACGCCTCAATTCGTGCCGACATACCTAACCTGTATCCTAACCTCTAACAGCCTACAACTTTATAGGATAGGGGATATATCGACTATGAATGAGAGTATAAGGACAGGTCAGAAATTAACAAAATAAATGTATTGGTCTGATTTAATTAATGCGTATTTAAGAATAAAAATACATATAAACAAAAAACAGCTGTTAATTTCATGGCTGTCATGTTGGTTACGTACGCCCTAACGGCTAGCAATGTGACTACATTTTCGACCTAACATCTAACATTGGCCCTGGCTTGTTAGATCGAGCAATGTTAAGTAGCCGATTCTTACAAATCTCCTTCATCATTTTGCTCGATCTAACAAACCTAACAGAGTTAACAGGGTTAACACAAAGATCGTAAATACCCCTACCCTCTTGTTTTAACTCTTGAAACGAGAACTGCAGAACTATTATCCATTGTTGTTGAGTTCTTGGATCAATTTTCTTGTTCTGACTGCACAAGTTTAAGCTCAACTATGGGGACACCTTTGGTTGCAACGGTGACGTTGACATGACAGCTCAAGATAAAAGTTCCAAACATCCTCCCCAAAAAAGTAAAATAGTCAGCCTATCAATGTAGGCCACATTGTGGCCAACCTTAATTCACTCCTACATTTATGAGCAACACGGGCCTTTTATTTTTATTGGTTGACACTTGGCCAGTTTCTTAATGAGCGATGAGGAGTCCAGCGTGGGTCCATTAGTAAAGGATATCAATGATGTTTTGGTGATATTGATTAGCAGGTAATTACTATCAAACCTTTGCTTAATTTTAGTAAATTCTCTTTTAATCGTTGTTTCTAAATTTGAGTGACAATCATCAGAAAACAGAAAACAGGTGTCATCGGCGAAGCACACAATGAGAGCAGGTATATCTAATGAGAATAAGTTACTTATGTAAAATAAAAATATCAGAGGACCTAAAACTGTTCCTTGCGGCACATCAAATGTTTGAATTGTACTAGAACCGATGTAATTATTAATTTTAACCCTTTGAGGATTAAAATTGGGATTCTGTTCTTTGTATAATTCGCGTTCTACATCATCATTTTTCATTTTTTGCGCCATTTTTTCTTAAGTTCAATAAAGCATTATTGTTATTAGGTCTATTAGGTTTCGTGGTCTGATTGACCAAATAAATTCTTTTCAATTAATTAATCGTTAATTAATGTTTTGGCTGAGATAAAAAAAGTCAGCGTCACGGGTGGGATTCGAACCCAACGACCTTCGGCTATATACGCCGCTGCTCTACCACTTGAGCTATTTAGCCGAAGGTCGTTGGGTTCGAATCCCGTTCGTGACGCTGACTTTTTTCATCTCAACCAAAACCTTAATTAAGGATTAATTAATTGAAAATTATTATTAGGTTTAAGTAGCGAGAATACAGAATTGGATTTAGAGACGTTTGATTCATTGAAAGATTGCGTTTATTCAGTCTGATTTTTCTTCTTCGATATTATTATTCGGTCTGTTTGTTACGAATGTTGAAATATGTCTCATGTGTCGGTTTACGCATAGCGCAAATAATATGGTCCAAAGAAGAAAAATATGCTTTAGAGCCCCTTAATACGAAGGAGGAGAGGGTCCTGAAGCTAGGACGTCTTGAATACTAAATCGCCGTGATTTGTGAAACGGCAGAATCACGTAGAGGATTTCAGTGGAGAAGAAAAAAATATAAAAATAATAAATAAAAGACGGGGGATTGATAAAACCGACGGATGGGGTGGGTCACAATGGGCGAATCAATCATAGCCAACCGTGATCAATCTTTTCCACCTCAGACATTTGGCTTCCGGTGTCAACAAGATAAACCTTTCCCGAATCGAGAGCAAACAAGGAGATAATAAATTGCCCAATTGTGTCTGCCCTGCTCTAAGTAAATACGCAAATCGTCCTGACATGTCGAAAACGAATTATATTTTAAAATTTAAAAAAATATATTACGTTTATAATCCTTGTAAATCAAAATTCTTGACTTGAGTCAATTTAGCTTAATGGTTAAAGGTAAAATATCACATACTCAGCTACTCTTCCCAACCAACTCTATTTATCATTTAGGTAATAATCAAATTACCATTTAAATAATTCATTGTACAATGTTGATGCTGGGGTGTTCTAATAAATTGAAATATATACTTTAGACATTTTATCCAGCTGTTCATTGTGACAAGGCAAATGTGTATTAAGCCTGAACACTTACTACTAAAGAGAAAATCGGTAGGATTGCTAAAATGACAGTAATATGAAAAATAGGATTCATGATTTTTGTTAAATGTTAACTGGTGTAAACTCGAATAGAGAAATGTCTAGAAAGATCGTGAACGACCCCTTCTTTTCTTTGGATGTTAAATGTTAATTTTTCCGCAATGCTGCGTGTGGCGACTGGTAGAACCAAAAATAAAGCTATAACAGTCCTTGGAGACTTGTTGTTTGTTATAGTTTTGTTTTGTGTTAAATTGTAAGATGCCAGAAGGTAGTAAAAAAGGAACATTAATCAAATCTTCCATTTAAAATGCTATCTATGCACTCGAAAAGTACTAAAAAATGACACGCTTCAATTCGTGCCGACATACCTAACCTGAATCCTAACCTCTAACAGCCTACAACTTTACAGAATATGGGATGTATCGACTATGAATGAGAGTATAAGGACAGGTCAGAAATTAACAAAATAAATGTATTGGTCTGATTTAATTAATGCGTATTTAAGAATAAAAATACATATAAACAAAAAACAGCTGTTAATTTTATGGCTGCCATGTTGGTTACCTTCGCCCTAACGGCAAGCAATGTGATTACATTTTCGACCTAACGTCTAACATTGGCCCTGGCTTGTTAGATTGAGCAATGTTAAGAGCCGATTTTTCCAAGTCTCCGTCATCATTTTTCTCGATTTAACACGACTTAACAGAGTTAACAGGCTTAACACAAAGATCGTGAATAACCCTAGTATTTTTAAAATCGTCATTATAAGCTTACTTGTGTTAAGGCCTGTTGACATCCTAGTGGAATGTTGTGAGAAATAAAAAATTCTTGGCAACATTTGTTCCCAAACGTAGATAGATTTTCATTTGTTCTCCTCTGAAAAATGCAGTATTATATACAAGAATTTAATTATTGACTACTTATTGATTTAAGTTATATATCGATACAAAAAATCAGTATTCAATTGTTTTGAAAATATACATTTAAATTATTATTTTCCGGTAACGGACTGGGATTATACATAATGTGGGAGTTTTATGGGCCGACTGACATCTGAGGTCAACGCCGGCCCTTTGGTAATTTTACTTCTTTTTCTGATCTTTCACGCGTATTTTGTTTAAAAATGCAGCTATTTGAGCGTCTCGATCTGGTGATTCTCTGCTTTTATATGTACTACGTCCGTATCCTAAAACTGTAGTCTCTAGTTTGTACCTCAGGTTGTCAACTATAGAATAGATACAGAACGATACATATTTATATCGATACCAACTAAGAAGTTTGGTTACGTTCACTCCCCCATAGTACTCGATATTCCTCGGGGCAGGGTCGAACCCACTTCATTCTCGCTAATAAATTACTTTTACTCTCCAGATGTAACACACTCACCCGAGAGTACTCCATATTCGTCGGGGCGAGTTAAGCAACCGCTTCCTTTCACGCTAATAAATTACATTCATTCCAAAAATTAACATAAGCAGAACTTCCTTTACAAATATAGAATTTGATCACATCCACTTCCACAGAGTACTCGATATTCCTCGGGGCGTAGTTAAGCAACCGCTTCCTTTCACGCTAATAAATTACATTCATTCCAAAAATTAACATAAACAGAACACCCGATCAAACATAGAAGTCTGGTCATATCCACTCCCCCAGAGTACTCGATATTCCTCGGGGCGTAGTTAAGCAACCGCTTCCTTTCACGCTAATAAATTACATTCATTCCAAAAATTAACATAAACAGAACTTCCTTTACAAATATAGAAGTTTGATTACATCCACTTCCCCAGAGTACTCGATATTCCTCGGGGCGAGGTGGAACCCACTTCATTCGCGCTAATAAATTACTTTTACTCTCCCGACATCACACACTCACTCAGGTACTCGATATTCCTCGAGACATGGGATTTTTGTTGTTGAT